ATTTGAATGTTGTTTTGTTTTAATCACTTTCTATATGTCTTTCTATTATTTAGTAGTTATTTTTTTGTATTCTTTTTATTTTTCAACATTTTGGCCGCCGGACTTGCCTCGTTAGAATGGTTGAAGCTGCCGGTTTATCGGTTAGGCCGGTTAAACCGCTTTTGGCCCCCGGTTAATCGTTCTGGTTCGATTTTGTGAGCACAAATTTGCACAAACACCTTACTAGATGAGCATATATTACAAAAAGTAACTTTTTTAAAAAAGACACCTCATATTTAGCAAATCCACCCTTCACAACTCACACTAACATTAACCTTTGTAATTTGAAAGGTTGTGAATTGTAAATTATCCCTATATATATATATATATGGAAAAGTCTTCCCAACGCCTATAGGCGAAAATGAACAGTGATTTCGTCTATCCTCATCATCGTCCAAAGTTTATCACACGGTCACGATTGTCCGGTAATGTTTCATTTTTCATTTCTTTTCTACAAATTGGAATGACCTGAAATTTGGAGCTTGTGTACATCTTAGTGAGATGCACCTAATAAAAATATTAAAAAAAAAATTCGCAAAAAAAAATTGACTAAAATATCCCCGAAAATTTTGGGGGTCATTTTAGTCAATTGTTTTGGTAAAAAAAAAAAAAATTATATTTTTCGTAAATTCGCCTATTTTTTATGATCACACGCTCCAAATTTCAGGTCATTCCGATTTGTAGAAAAAAAATGAAAAATGAAACACTACCGGACAATCGTGACCGTGCGATGAATTTTGGATGGTGATGAAGGTAGGCGAAATCACTGTTCATTTTCGCCTATAGGCATTTTATAGTATCTTCCTATATATATATATATATAATAAAGAGAAATAGCAACTACCAAAATCCGTTTTTTGGAGTAATCAAGAGTTCTATGCATTCCAAATTTAACTCGAGATATTTGCAGTTTACTAACCTAATTTGGGTTGTTAGGAAGAAGAAAGTTGATTAGATTAAAGGCAGGTATGATACTCATTTGAAGGAATTCTTCTCAGAACTTTGATTTAGCATCATAGAGTGAACAATCTTACTAAACTTAGTAACGCTGGAAAATATTTCAGTGTAGTGAAGACTGGCGTGGCGACCCACATTAGGACAATCTTATCTTGATAGCTAACAGAAATGACCGAGTCAAATATACCCCGTTAAGATACTTCTTTTAGTGTGCAATTCATGTGTTTAGGTTAAATATAGACATTCTGTATTGCATGAAGGAGGGACGCCCACAAATTTTCTCGAAGCTTTTGCCAGTTGGTGGTTTTCATGTTTCGATGTTATAACTTGAACATCCATATGTTTTCCAATTTCTAGCTCTTAATGGGCGTCATCTTTGCATAAAGATAGAAGATCTTGCTGGGCCTGATGCTTAAGTGCCAGTTGCTTGCTTGTATGTGCTTCACTTTTGCTTGGGCATAGGGGGTTGGTACCCCATTTCTTTTGTGTGTACCAAGTGGACTGCATTTGACTGCCAGGGTTGGAGTCTTTGAATTCCACAAGTAGCCCAGAATAATATGTTCAAACAGTTTAATAGTGCCTCTCAAGAACTTTAATCTCCAAGTTATTTAGATGTGGCACCGATAGGCGATAAGATGATAGAGTAGACCTAGATGGGTTGGCCATGTGTGGAATAGACCTAGTACAACACCTGTTAAGAGGTGCGAGCTAGTTCATGTGGAAGGCTAAAAAAGGGACAAGGAGTAGGCCCAAAAGGACATGGTTGGAAATAGTGAGAAAATATATGGGAACTTCTAACCGCATTGAGGGTGTGACCCTTAATAGAGCAGAATGGCAAACCAGGATTCGTGTAGTTGACCCCAATTAGTTGGGAAAGGGTTTTGATGGTGATGATAATGATGAAAACTTTATTCTCTAAGTTATTTTGAAGCATTTCCACTAGTTTTAATCCAATTTAGAGAGTATCAGTTTTGCGAATGAATAAATCTTGAAAAATTACATTGTGTACTAGTACAACAAGGAATAACTAAACTGGATATCACCTGTTAAATGATTAACAATGGTAAGCATTGTTTTCTCTTAACCGATCCTTTCATGCTTGACTCCAACCAGAGTTTTACTCTTTCCAAACAACCTTGGTATGTCTGGCTGTCTTGGATCTAGAAATTGATTATCTAGTCATTGCAAGCTTACTGGGGAGACATTGGATGCTAATTATCTGAAAGAACTGTTCTGCTTATGCCATTTTGATTCGAGACATTAGATGCTAATTATCTGAAAGAATTGTTCTGCATATGGTTTTATGCAAATCATGTAGCTTCTCTGTTTTAACATATTAATTGATTAAACAAGGTCTCATACATCAAGTTGCAATATATGTGGAGAATTGACATCTGCAATAGGAAGTAAAGGAAAAGACAAACAAGAAGAACTAAGCTGGAAAAGGAAGGAAGCTGAACAAAAACAGAGCAGATTAAAGGAAGGGTATCTCTCACTGGAGAAAAACAGAGCAGATTAAAGGAAGGGTATCTCTCACTGGAGAAAGGCTTCTACGCACAAAACTAGTGATGACTCGGCTTTCAAGTTGGACTTCCTAAGCATGTGCTGTGAAGAGATGTTTCACAAAACTACTGATGACTCAGCTTTCAAGTTGGACTTCTTAAGCATGTGTTGCGAAGAGATGGTTCTCTAGGTATCAACGTGCAAGATTTCTTCCAGGTACTGAAAAATGATGAAACTCTCACCATCTGGTGATGTTGAGTTACCTTTATCCATGGCCGTGCAAGAAGATAAAGGAAGGGTAGTTCTGAAGATAGTAAAGAGATATGTGCCTCTACGAATGGTTGACTGTTAGAACCTATTGGCCCAGAAAATAGTTGGACTGATCATAGTGGATGATCTCTCACCAAGCTACCCACCCCATAGGGCCCAAGGGTTTGCTTGCAAACCTACATTAGAATTGAGCATGAAAGCTCGATTTGATGTGGACTTTAATGATCCAACCCTTTGGAATCAGTTATGAGTTCTGGTCTCTACCATAGCCATGTAAGTCAGACATAACAAGGTCTTTGTTTCTACTAAAGACTTACCAGTGCCCGAGAAATAGAACAGCCTGGATCTTCTCTTTTAACGATCTCTCTGCAACTGTAGAAACTGTTAAAACAAAATTGCTCCTTGCTTCCAACCACCACAAGAGATGGCTAGCAAGCATCCCAACCATGGAATACTACTACATCTTTGGGCCTTGGCTTGAGGACTACTAATATCAGCACAACCCAAAATATCCACACTCAAAGATATGTGCAAAAGGTGATCTTCTATGATCTCTTGCCCCTCTTTACCACATAATTCCTAGGATTTACAAACTGTGATGCTTAAGGGGGTCACCAACAAAGCCAGTCAACCAAAACAGGCTTGCACTCATGACGATTCCTCGGCGTCCTTCTCAATGTCTGCCAAAGTCTCTTACCCCTCCACCCTCTTGACTCTTGATTAACCATATTAAATGTCTTGGTTTGTGACTGCCTCTCCAGAGATATATACTCTGGATCACTTCCAATTTATCTGTCACCCAACCTGGGTATGAAATGGACAAATTATATCACAATGTCATTAAGCATCACCTTGTCTGGCTTCCTATGCATAAAGGAAGTAAACATCTATCATATATGCACTAGGAGGACATTCCCCAGAGCTGAACTTTTAGAACTTTGCGAGGACAAGAAACTAACAAGCCACTTCAATTCCCTAACTACTCTTAACACATCGCAAAATCTAGAAACCCAGTCAATATGGTTCTATGAATTCTCTGCTTGATGATCAGATCACATCTACCTTTGTTTTTTGCGTGGAAGTGAAACCAATCCATAAGTTTATTTACTGCCAACTAAGCCTTTTGCCATTTAAAGGTGCCATAAGGATTCTGATTTCTAGATCCTCGTAAGCAGATTGCCCAATTAGATAAGAGACCAATCTCAAGCACCACTTAAAAGAGCTGTAAAAAGCTTGAAATAACAGGAAAGAAAATGAAATACCAGAGCCACATTCAAGTCTTCCAGGTTAAAAGAACACAATGGATTCTTGTGACTCGCCAATGGTGGGAGATCTTGGGCTTGATAATTTTAGATTCTTATCCAATCCTCTGGGCAGTATGGAAGTGACTAGCATGTTGGCTGAGAAGGTGAATTTAGCTGCCTACATATTTCGACTTCTGATGGACCCCTCTTGTCTCATCTTTTTCTTTATTTTGCAGTTCCCTTCCATTTGACTATTTGCATGCATATGCATTTATAGACATGCTTGGCATCTTGCGCACTCAGAAAATTTTTGGATTAAATCTTTGGAAATCCTATGTTGTTGTTAGTAAATTTTGCCTCTTCAACAGTTCTTAAGATTCTCTCTCTCTCTCTCTCTCTCTCTCTCATATTAGTCATCTAAAATAACTCTCTCACGTATTAGTTATCTAAAATAAATGGAATTTTGTTTGCAGATGATTGATGATCAGGACCTGGGATTGTTTGCCAACTTTCTCGGCATCTTTATATTCATTCTTGTAATTGCTTACCACTATGTAATGGCCGACCCCAAATATGAAACCAGCTGAGGAAAGAGGTTAGCCGAAAATGGCCCTTCCAAAAAGCGAAGGATAAAGAGAGAGATACAGATGGGCTTTATTATCATGTGAAATGGAACGAATTTGACGTTTCCTATGACTAGCTGTTACTTGTCTTTCCAAAAAATTAGGGGTAGAATGTATTAGGAATACAGGATTTTGCATGTCCCCCTGACAACCCATTCTTGAATTTGGAGCCCTCCTGAACCTCTTCTTATACTCATGAATCAGGTGTTTATCTTTCTCACATTTTTCTTCTGTTTTGGCTGTCTTCTCTGCGGGTGAGCAGGAGAGAAGGAATTTGAGAGAGAGCGGCAACTTGAAACAATAATTTATAGTCCTTCCCTAGGCACTGTATTACCATGAGAGCATTTATTAGTGGTATAAGGTAATGAGATTGTCCATCAACTGTCTGATACAAGTTGGGACTTGCCAGCTTCACCATTTGGACCGTTGATTGGTGTGTCTAGTTTGATTTGCAGCAAAAAACAGATTTGTTGGAATATCTTGAAGACAGGTCAAAATTAATGTTTGATTGGTTTAGGTTGATTGAATAGCTTTTGACTTGTTTAAATGGTGAAGTTGGATAAATTTTTTAATATGTTTTATATTTCTTAACTATAATTATTATAGCTATTATTTTTGAAAATCTATTTAACCAGTTTAACCTACAGTCGAACTTGTTTAATTAAATCAAGCCTCTAGCCAGTTTGGTGGCCTATATAACTTGTTTAATTATATATCTTAACTATAATTGTTGTAGCTATTATTTTTTAAATTCTATTTAACCAGTTTAACCCACAGTCGAACTTGTTTAATTAAATCAAGCCTAGCCAGTTTGGTGGCCTATAGCTGGTCCTATCCGATCACGATAGGATTGCTTTGAATGCATCCAGCTTGACGCCCTTAGCCACTGTGGTCACATTTAACCGGTAAAGATGGTTGTGACGTTGTATCACAGGTAAATGGTTTATTATATAAGTTCTCTTCTTAATAATGCAGATCCGATTATTTGTGAAGAACTAAAATGGGTGACATAAGTAGTATACTTTTTTTTTGGTCGCCTCTTTGTTCATGATCATCAACGTTCTTTGCACTCGGGTGAGTAACTAGGCCTCACCCTCTTGGCGAGGCGAGCTAAAAACCTGCAAAACAGATAAAAATAAAAATATTTCAAAATGCAAAGAAAAGGAAAAACATCAACATTAGAAATATACTTTTAGATGTTTTGGATAATTTTAATATGATTTGGGAACTTTTAATTATTTTGGTTTTATAATTTTTCCTGAAATACTCGAGGTATAAATAAATTTTTCGAATAATCCATTTTTTTTTGTCGTATTTGGTCTTCTACTTATTTCTATCACCTCCTTCATCCTCCGTTAAAAGTTGGCAGTCTTGAACCAGTCTTCTCCTGCGCCATTGCCAACTAAACCAGTCTCTTCCCTTGATTTCTGCTCCTCAAGTTTCAGTCTTGAACCAGTCCTCTCCTGCTCAATCGCCAACTAAACCAGTCTCTTACCTTGATTTCTGCTCTTCTTCGGTCATGGATTTAAGGTTATGAGGGGACGAAGCAAACGTCATTGCAGATTCTGAGGCGATGAAGCCATTTCCTTCCAAGAGGCAAACGCCAATGGGCTAGGAAGCACGAACTTCTTCTTCTTTTTTTTTTTTAGGTGTAGCGTGGCAAATTGTGAAGTGCTAACCAATTAAGCCTGGATTTTTTTTGTAAATCGACTTCAATTTCTGGAAGGAGGCATAGCCTGTATTCCCCCAGCATAGCTTGTTCCTATGGCATCATCTCTCTTTCTATGAAAAACGGCATGTTTATTCCTTCTTTTTTTTCTGAGAATTATGGGCATTCTCTCTTCATCTATAAACATCTCCCTCTAACCCTTCTTCCATTGGCCCTCTCTCTCTGTCTGGAATACAGTCCCCTTATTTCTCTTTGTAACGGCTCTAAGATGATGTTGTTAGCGAGTGGTGAGAAAAGGACCAGAGAGTGCCCTTTTCTCTGATCAACGGATTCTTCATGACCATGGTTCCACCTGCTTCTCATTTATCTATCCGACTCTTCTAATGCGGTTAACAACTTTTACCTTACGTGGAGAAAGGCAGATTCCATGATGCCATAACAATCCACTTCTGAATGTGTGTGACAATGTCACACTAGTCCAAGTCGCACTACTAAAAACATAAACATAGACGAAAAATAATCAAATAGTTTTATGGGTAATCTTGGGAATGCAGGTGTTGGAGGTGTAGTGCGAGATTGGACTGGGTCAATTATTCTCTCTTATGCTGGACCTATTGGGTGGGCAACGGCTAGCATGGCAGAATTCACAGCGTTATTTAAAGGATTGTTGTTTATTAAAGCCTTGAATTTGGGTCATTTCATTGTTGTGGAAGGTGATTATTTAAATGTAATAAAGTGGTGCAACAAAGAGGTTTGTGTTCCTTGGATGTTGCGATTGATTTGGGGCCAAGTTTTGGACTTAGAAGGGGTATTATCGCTATCCTTCCAACATGTGTTTAGAGAATCTAATGGTATTGCTGATGGATTGACTAAGAGATGGGTGTCGATGGAATCCATTTCGATTTTGAATGATGTAAATACTGAATGATGTGAGTGCTGAGAGTTGTAATCATGGTTTAGTTGATAATAAAATTTTAGAACATTTGTCAAAAAAAAAAAAATGAAATAAGTAAGACGAATGAAATAAACTACCTATTTGCAATAATAATGACTAATCAGTAACCACCTATTAGTTCTATAATTTTTCATTGTAGAATTATAAATATAACCTCACTATATCACTCAAAATAAAAAACTAATATGATTTTTTAAAATTCTAATTTTGACAACCTCTCAATCACTTTTTCGCAATCACAAGTATCTTTCTTCTCTTTGATGTGCAAAGATAGGCTCATGGACCGGAACCAGCCAGTTAGCTCGGAACCGCTAGGGTTTCAAGTCTAGTTAGGCCCGGTTTTGAGTTGCAAGTAGTCTATAGAACATCCATGCAAAATTTTAGGTCTAAAACCGGCCGGTTGGACCTCGAAGTGGCTATTTTTATTGCTAATTGACCTGTTTTCTGCTAACCAGACCGGTTAGCCACTAAAATGGCCATTTTTTTTTCAAAATAACGACCATTTGCAGAATAACTGGCGTTATTTGTAAAAAGGGGTTGTTATATATTATAGGAAGCCGTGATCTACTGTTTTTCAACTTTTTGGATTCGATTTTCTGACATTTATTGGAGTTTTTGGTATTTTATTGACGTATAACACTATCAAATCTCTTGCACAAAAGATGTTAGTGTGCAGTCATAACTCATCAACAACCTTGGGTGTAGGTCGAATCGCTATGAGATCGTTGTCATGAGGGTATGTCTCCTCTTCAACTCCCCCGATATCACCCTCCCTCTATTCATCAGTCTGCATGTTTTCCTCCTTATTACACTCCATGAATTCCCTTTGTAAGTGATGCTTGGGGCAATCATAAGACTTGTGTCCCAGCTCACCACACGTCACTTCACTTGAAGCAAGTTGTTGGTTTACTGTTGTTGTCTCTGTGTTAGGCCTGCGTTAGTTGAATTACATCAGAAATGCACATTGACTGCAAGACAAGATGTTCTTTTGTCATTTCACATGCATCACGTAATATATAATTATTGTGATGTTTGTCTTAATTCTGCAGACCTATAGCTGGCCGGGCGGCCGGCCAAGCAACTGCTGTGGAAGCAGTTGTTGTTTATCTGCTTCTGTTCTTGCACACACGCCATTTTACTCCTTGCTAATATTTGGCTCATGAATTCACAATATTTTATGCTTTATATTCTGTTCGTTTGGATAATCCATTGAATTAACCTGTAAGAAGGAAACAAGGTACAGTGCGTCATGCTAAGTAAAGAAGTTGATCATAGCATCCTTATACCCTCTTAATTGCTACATTATTAATTCTTTGTTTTTGAATGTATCAACAAATTTGGTATTATCCCACAATTCCTGTATCGGCTTTCATGAAAGCTGAGTGCCATAAGATTCCAACTTGGGGTTTGTAAAAATCATTTCTTCTTAGTCCTGTTTTTCTTATTATTTTCTCGTGTTGGTTTGCTTATTATGGCCCTGCAGTCCAAATTTACAAGATCCTGAAATGGCCTCGTATCATCTCTTTTTGTATTAGTGTCTAAAAGAATGTATTTTAGATTGATAGTCTATCATCTCAAAACTGCTTTTAAGAACATGTTCTCTCCGTAGTTTCTTTCTGAACTTGTTGAAGATGATCATCATGGCATCCACATATATATGAAGAACCAGTATGTTAAGGAAAACATTTGATGCAGAGTGAATTATTTGTTGGTTTTCCATCATTAACATGAACCCTAAGAATGTTGTCAAACGTATTGGGTGATAATGCATGGCTGACCTTTTTCTTCCTTGCTTATCTTCTTCTTTCTAGTTTTTAGTGCACGACTTCTAGTGAGTTGCTTCTCCGAAAATTGCCTGGCCCTCAACCTCTTCGTTGCCGCCTGTGGAATTCGCCTTTCACATAACCTGTAAAAAAGCCGTCCTACATTCATTTGATTATCCGACCACTTCCCATGAGCAGAGGTATAAATGGTCATTATGCACACAAGCATCTTGTCATTTGCTGATCTATGCTGAACAAGAAATGGTGCTTACCCCGTTTTTTCCTTCCTTCTCTATCTCATCTTTTGTAAAGACAGATGTAAAGCATATTGTGCAGTACCTGTGGAACACTGTTCTGTGTTTGTTTGTATATAACTAAGTGTACTGTACAATAATCAATGTTCAGGGGATCATCAGAGCCAGTAATAGACCTTATTGAATACTCGTTATTATTCCATCTATCTTGTACTTGACTCTATATACCCATTATTATTGTCAGGAAACAACTCAATACCCCGACTTTATATACCCATTATTGTCAGGAAACAACTCAATACCCCGCGTGCGTGATTCATGATGGTCCATGGAGAGAGAGAATCAAGAGAGGAAGTCAAAGAGTCCCCGTGAGGGATTTTTTGCACGAAGGCTATTGCGAGAGGGATTTTGTACCGGAGGGCTCAATGTTACAAGCTAATTTTCTTTTTAAGCCAAAAAAATTTGAGCAGGTTTTGAGTTTCAGTGAGTTTTGGGTACGAGAGAAAATTTTATAAGGCTATCCATAAATTCACAGCACCCATCTCAAATTCTCAATCTTTTCTCTCCTGAAATTCTCAATTTCCCTTGAAATCCAAAAACTTCAAATTTGAGTGCATCCAAAATGATTTGCTCCATTATGATACCCTGCCTATTTTGGTCCGTTATGAACGTCTTCAGAATATTGCAACGTAGGCAACCTTTGCAGACCTTTCAGTCTTCTAAGGCCCGAAAGAACATGAACTTCGGAATTGTGTTGGCTAGTATTTTGAGCATTCAGCATGGGCATGGCCATCGGTTCTCCGCATATAAACGCATGAAAGACAAGAAAATGTAACTTCAATCAGAATTTTGCCAGTACAACGGAGTAATAGCTCTCCATATACCTTACGAAAATTTTGATAATATAATGTTATACCTCCCTACAGAACAATCATCCCCCTCTCTCTCTCTCAATTTAATTCATCGGGTTTACACCTTCATGTTCATCGTTGTAAGAGATCATTTGGCAGCCGCATAGTTCTGCTTACCAGAAAATTTTGATGAACACGAACTTAGATTCCAAAAGGCTCAGGCATACCCAGTTCAAAACAAAGTGGTACAAGGCCAGGCTCTTGCAACAAGCTGAACGCACAAACACCATAATAGGAATGATAGAGATCTGGGAAGTCCCACGGATGCTTACTGAAACCCCCAAACTGAAGACATGAAAAAGCTATTGGTAAAAAGGATAAAACCCAAAAAGAATTGCAGCAGAAACTAGTAACATACTACAGGGCAACAGTACTCATATGAATAGTAGTAACAAGAATAAAAGAATAGTCTCCATTCTCATCAATGAACATAAACAATGAATAGCATAGAGTAACTTAATTTGAAAGAGAAAAATTAAGCACCTTGGATTGACAAGTAAGCAGAAACTCTCGTAAAGAATTCTTGTCAAAGTGGTCGGCCCCCAACATCCTCAAAACCCCGCCAACCCTGCAATATTTTAACACAATGATTCCATGTTTTTCTCAACAAACAAGCTTCATGATGAGGTGCAAACTGTGTGAAGTGAAGGCTATCATTTATGGGAGCAGCAGCAGATTCCGTGCAACGCATACATCTAATTTGGAGGATGCAAACCCTAGATAAGCTGCTAAGAAGAATAAGAGGAACAAGCTTTGATCTGGCCATTTCTCAGTTTATTTTAGATATCTTCCAGTGAATTTTCTATTTAATTTTAATTTCTTTTATTGTTAAGTAGGAGGCATTCTAGGTATTTTACCTTAAGTTAGGGTACAGTATTTAAGTGGTTTTAAGTTAGGACAGTTTTAGCCATTTTTTTATGAGTGCGGTTTGTATAGAGCTGAGGCTCTAAACAATCAAATTCAAGCCCACCTTCAAATAGTGTCAAGAAATGTCATTTCAATATTGGAAATATTTGTGATAGCTTTAAAATACATTGTTATCTTTAATCATAAAATTTAAAGTTTCAAAAATAGCGTAGATTGAGCAGATCTATGAAAACTTAGAAAATTTTGAAAATTGACGATCCAAAAATGCATTACAATATGCACTATTTCCAAAACTTGTGAAATCTATTTTTTTCTCATGTCCATGCATCTGATGTCGAGATGATCAATTTGAGTGTATTTAGGCATCAAAACAACCTCTTTTAGTGAAATTTTTGAGGTAGGCTGTAAATCAATATTGGAAATATTTGTGATAGCTTTAAAATACATTTTGATCTTTAATCATAAAATTTAAAGTTTCAAAAATAGTGTAGATTGAGCAGATATATGAAAACTTGGAAATTTTGAAAATTGACTGTCCAAAAATGCTACGAGATGCACTATTTCATTTTTTTCTCATGTCCATGCATCTGATGCCGAGATGATCAATTTGAGTGATTTAGGCATCAAAACAACATCTTTTAGTGAAATTTTTGAGGTAGGCTCTAATTTGATTGGTTAGAGCCTAAGCTCTATATAAATTTTTTCCTTTTTGTATTGGCTAAGGGAATTATTGACTATCATAATTAAGAAAAGAATAAAACAACGTGCGTGGGGGCTGATCACATGACTTTTAGATTGAGAAAAAAAAAGAAGAAACAAAAGAGGAGGATTAAGGTTGGCACCTTTAGGTTTCGTGGTGGAGAAACCTCAAGTTTCCCCAATTGAGTGCTTGTATTTGCCTGAAAATTGCTTATTTTCTATTTTATTTATGAAATTTCTTCATTATTTGGCATCAAAGCACAGGATTCTTGAGCAGCAAGGACGGAAATCTTCAGTCAGGTCTAGGGTTTGCTGAATTTAGACCAGGGTTTGCTTATATAAGCCAAGAATTTGTTGATTTGAACTTGCTGATTTTAGCTAAGGTTCGCTAATTTTCTGCCTAGTGTTTGGGACTTCGTTAAACCTATGGCAACAAGAAGGGCTGGAAGGGGAACTCTAATAGACCTACCCTCTGAGGCCAGAGATGAAGGGATTGAGGATCTCAACTCTCAAGAGGTAGGTTCAGCAGCTTGTACAACAACTTGGGGGCAGTAATCATGACCAAGACGGCGATCTTTCCGCCCAAGAAGATATGGAGTACAACCCTTTTCACCGTCACGCCTCGTATCAAGAGTCCAGAGAAGAGGAAAGTGATAGAAGACCTAGATGAGGAGTGCATCACTCTAGACGATGTCGATTTCAAGGAGATATGGGTTCAATGTTGTGATGGAGTTAGTGGGGATTTTCTCATTCAAGAAAGATTTCTCTTCCAAGGAAACCATCTTTGAATACCCGCATGTCCCATTAGAGAGACTCCTATAGCAGAGCTCATGGAGGTGGCCTCGGGGGATATTTTGAGGGAGACAAAACCATAGAATTGGTGGAGTCCAAATGTTTCTGGCTAAAACTAAAGAGGGATTACTAGGTATGTAGAGAGGCATAAAACGCGCCAGCTAGTTATGAGGAAGCAACAGAACACCAGACTTTATTCCCCACTTCTTATTCTTAATGCACCTTGGGAAGATATTTCCATGTTGCGTCTTCCACAGACTCAACAAGGTATGGATTCTATATTTGTGATACCCAATAACTTCTCAAAGATGGCTCACTTTATAGCTTGTTAAAAGACAATGGATGCTACACATGTTGCTAATCTATACTTCAGAGAGGTAGTGAGATTGCATGGTATTCTAAAAACTATCACTTCATATCAGAATACTACACTTCTCAGCCATTTTTGGAGAACTTTGTGGAAGAAATTGGATACTCAATTTCAATTCAGTAGTACTTATTACCCATAGATAGATAGGCAAACTTAAGGTGGTAAGTTGTACTCTTACAAATCTTCTCAGAAATATTGCAGGGCAAAAGAAGAAGCAGTGGGACCTAGCGCTACCTCAAACCGAATTTGCTCATCATAGTTTGATTGGTAAAAGCCCATTTGAAGTGGTATATGGGAAGAACCCTACCCATTCGCTAGATTTGATTCCATCCAGAGTAATGGAGAGGGTCATACTACTGCTAAGGAGTTGGTTGAGCAGATGAAAGAAGTCCATGAACAGGGGTGAGGTAATTTAGAAGCTAATACGACCAAGTATAACACAGTGTCAGGTAGACATCGCTGTTTCAAGGAGCTCCATGTTTTGGTAACGGTGTATCTCAAGGAGAGGCATCCAGCAGGTAAGTACAATAAGTTGAATTATTGCAAGACAGGACCATTCAAGATCTTCAAGAAGATAGCAGCAATGCATGCAAAGTCGCTTTGCCTTCATATATGTAAGAAGAATAAGAACAAGTTTTGATTGGGTTATTTTTTAGTTTATTTGGATATTTTACATGGATTTTCTCTTTAATTTTAATTTATTTTATTTTTAAGTTATTTGATTATTTTACGTGGATTTTCTCTTTAATTTTAATTTCTTTTATTTTTAAGTCATTTGGATATTTTACGTGGATTTTCTCTTTAATTTTGATTTCTTTTATTTTTAAGTTAAGAGAGAGGCATTCTAGGTATTTGACCTTAGGTTAATATTTATCTAAGTGGCCTTAAGTTAGGACGCTTTTAGTAATTTTTATATTGGCTAGGGGCATTATTGACAATTGTAATTAAGAGGGGCTCTTGGGGGCTGATCGTGTGAGATTTAGAGAAAAACAAAAAAATAATCAAAAAAAAAAACAGAGCTGTAATCTTGATGAGAAGCCTCAAGTTTCTTCAATTGAATTTCTTTAATTGAGTGCTTGGGTTTGCCTGCAAATTGCTTATTTTCTATCTTCTTTATTAAATTTCTACATCACCTCTCAGACAGAATATATCCACTCGCTTACCAAAATGCGTAACATGTATCACTTGCTTTGTTGGGTCTACCTTGAAATCCACCATCAGCTGTTTGTCTCTGCATCGAGGAAAACAAGAAGGAATATAAATCCGTGTTCCTTGATCAACAAATTCCCCCTCAAGTTTGCAAAGATTAAATGAAAAAGGAAAAAGGAAAAAGGCAAAAGGAAAAAGGAAAAAAGAATCCAAGTAGCAATAATTGTGCAAAGTTTAGACCAATTGCATTGTGCCAATGTTGCTCATTACATTAGTTGTCCCTTGATGAAATGGTGAGACGAGGGTTGCAGCATGGTAAACCATGTCTTTCTTTGGCTTACTCTTGTTATGGATATGGACATGCGACAATATTATAAGAAAAAAGAGAAAAAGATGACATGCCACACTAGAGTGAATCAAATTTACACCCAAATAGGTAAACCTAGGAAAGATGGGAGGGTCTAATTTTCCAACATCACAGGCCATCTCCTTAATGCTCCTATCCCCCAACCCCACATCCATAACTTTCATTTTCCCTGGCATTCAATTACTAGCTTGTAGTTAATATACTAACATATACCACTATAAATAGCATGCTTCATATACCAAGGCAAGGGTTGCTAGATTGAACAGAGTATTTCAGCCTGAATTTTGGGGCGAGCTCCCTCTCACCCTCGGCCTCATAAACACAAAAAATGAGCAACGATAATCCAAACTTGAAATGATTTTTATGCCATTTATGGAATGGATATATACCTGCAAGCTCCACTCTAGCACCGGTTGCATATCTATGACAGATGATGTACATTGTGAGACAAAGTTATCATCAATGAATCCCATCAATCGAAGAGCAGAAATTGCACAATAAGTCGCACCACCTGTGGCACTAAGAAGAGCAAAGAGAATAAGCACATATCCTATTAATTGTATAAGAATAAATTAAGTGCACCACATTCTGTAACCAATTTGCACACAACAAAGTAATAAAATTGAAGGAAATTTACATTAATATCCCCTTTATTTTTTGCAGTATTTAAAATATATCCCCTATATTTCGAATTTTTACTCACATCCCTTTTTTGTGAAATTTTTTATTTTTCCCAAATGCCCCCAGGTCGGAACTTGAAGTTCCGACCCAGGTGTTTTTTTTCTTTTTTTATTCCCTAGTTTTTGTGTTGGACCTCCAACAGTCTTAAAAACTTCTAATTTTCAAATGAATGACAGGGTCGGATCTCCAACCTCTAACCCGGTTTCTTACACATTTTTTTGTAAAAAAAAAAGATTGGAACACGAAGTTCAGATTGGTCTTAAGTTCTTGTATGTTTTTTTGAATAACTGGGTCAGATTTCCAACTTCTGACCTGGTTTCTACACTAATTTTTTGTAAAAAGGGGGTTAGAACATGAAGTTTCTATCAGTCTTTAAATCTTGCTTCTTTTTCTTTTTTTTCGAATGATCGCAGTCGGAACTCCATGCCCAACCTAGTTGACCCCTTTTTTACCAAAATTTCAGCTTGGAACTTAAGAGTTCTGACCCAAAAACTGGGGGAGGAAAAGGAAAAACCAGGGTCAGAAATCCAAGTTCTGATCCAGGGGCATTTTGGGAAAAATAAAAAAATAAAAGAAAGGGACAAGCGTAAAATTCAGAATATAAGAGATTTTTTTTAAATACTGCAAAAAAGAAAAAAGATATTAGCGAACATTCCCTAAAATTTAATGGAAGTACTTAGAATCTATTTAAACTCCTGTACATTTATAAGAAATTCCTAATATGTAGCATTAACAATAAAGTTAATTAATACCGCCACTGCCCAACCGTCTACTTCCTCCAAACAAACACCTCTACTTCCTCGCAAGTAACTTAAGCTGGAAAAGAGATACTAATCCATGAATTGTACGTATAGTTTGGCTATTAGAAGAGGGGTTGGAGAGAGGCCGAAGAACTTGTACTCAAAATCAAAGAACAAACTCGGAAAATACAACAATGATGTTTGTTGATTAAATGTTTACTGTCATAAATATGTTTAACCACACAGCCTACATCCACAAATAACTGGCTCTCATGTATGGACTCGTGAAGTACAAAGTATAAACAGGCACGAAATTCAACTACAGGACCACATACACTTGATCTTAGTTCCTTACCATGAGACTCTGCACCAGGAATCAAACCAAAGCCACCATCATACGACTGCAAGTAAAAACTAATCGCTTAGATGAATTATTCATGGCTCTCAAATATACAATGGAGACTCCCTATATTTCATAGGGTCTGCAGAAAAAGGACTATGCTTTACTGAAGAAATTGACCAAGCAAGGGTCACAATCAACAAACCTGACAACTAAGTATGTAGTCCTTGGCCTTGATCTTGTTCAATCCACTCCAATCATTTAACATAGAACTGATAGCAGCTGAAAAAACAAATTAAAAAAGAGAAAGAAAATTCACAGAGTTATATCTTCCAATCAATTCATTGTCAACTATTGTATATTTTCCAAGTACAAGTAGCCTTTAGTGCATGTGAGGGCACAAATTCCTTCCTTACCAGCACAGAATACAAAACGGAGATCTGTCTCTGCCCCAGTTCGAATGGACATGAAGCTGCAGGATAAAGAATGGAAGATAAAAAAAAAAGTCACATTCAATTTGTTCACTCTAGAAGACCCTCGTATATTTTTTTAATAAGAAATAGCAACATGCACAGTTTATCATAAGATTTGTGAAAATATAAAGGAGTTCCATTAATCACATCAAAAAATTTCAGAAAACAAAAAGATACAACTCAAAATGAAATATCAACTAACCAACACAAACAATCGTGAATTGTGAGTTACACATGCCCCTTAGATTTTGTAAATAGCTCCTGAGTCTCTTGGTTCTTCTAATTGAATGCCTCAGTTAAAAATATTGCTTTCTAACAACCACGTAGAAACGATGAGTGACACACAGCCCTTAGATTTTGTTAAATAGTTCCTGATTTATCTTAGTTCTTCTAATTGAATGACTCAGTCAAAAGCATTCCTTTCTTGTTGGAGCTTGTCAAGCTGTCTGAACTGTGTGTACGATTTCGATAGAGCATTCGAATGGCACCATCAAGTAGTGGGAGTTTCAGGCAGCCTCCAAAGGTCCTTGATGAGTGCCGTCAAAGGACTATGATTTTCGGTAAACTGACAAAACGGTGTAGTCAAATCCTTAAGGATCTTGGGCTCTCAATGCCCTTAATGATGGAGAACGACCATGGTTGCTTGGCTAAAAGCACCACAAGAGACCGTTACGTTTACAGGATCACATAGATATCCACTTTAGATATTCTTCATTATATGCTAGTCTCGAAAGAATCAGATACTCATATGTGAGGCAGCATGGATATTAGGAAGTTAATGGATAAACATTGCTTCTCTTAGAAACAAACAAGTCGGGCCAAAAAAGTCATCAAATGATGAACGAGGACCTAGCTCCCGAACCCCTAGTATACTGATGGATATGCAGGCCCTTGCATACAGATGTATATGTGCAAATAAACACAAAACCCCCTACAGCCAATATTAAAGCACTGCGATATATAATTACAAGAAAACACCTGGCACATACACATCAAGTTTAATTGAAAGCACCCATGGTTGTTTCTAAAATGACTTGGTAGATTCTAGGCAAATTGCAGTCTATGCAACCTTCTGGGATAGAGAGATTAGGTATGCCACTCAGTGAACCACTTCCAGATGTGCTTCATCTTCTAATGATGTACAGAATCAGAACAGATATGGACAATGCTAATATTTGCCAAAATCATTTAGCTTTAAACTACATTGGTATTTACAAATAAAATGCATGGCTTAATACTTTACTACCTGCCATCTAAATGGACACCGTATGATGTTTCGTATTGCGCTAACTGCTAAGAAACAAGTGAAACCCCAATTAATGAACAGAAGGCAGTTGAAATCACCTCATTAGCAGACAGCGCGCCACTTGGAATATGCATGTACAATCCACTGAAGAACAGAGTATGAGGACAAAGAAACCACATATCATGCTAATAATTGGATAAAAAGGACCATATGCGCAGTTCTGGGAGACTAAACAGACTAACTGACCACCTAAATTGCATTGTTTGGAATACTGATTGATGGGCAACAGAAGTCAGCAATGAACAAGTAACACGTATGTACGGGTTATCTGAAAGGAGGTCAAAGTCACTAGATAACCATTTGATATTCAATTCTAAGGCCCAGTTTGGACTTCGGGCACCATGTAATTTTGTTCCTTAGTGGGTTAACTTGGACTAAGGTTAAAAGGGTTTCCCTTGTGATGATTGGAATAAAGGGCTTATCTGAAGCGGATTGAACACTTCCTAAAAATTGGGTGGGGAGAAAATCGTATTATTCATAATTAAATTTTATGTCCAGACTTGACTTAAAGAGCATCTACAGTTTACTTATTGATAAGATGAGCTCATGGAGTCATTTATTGGACATGCTTATGCAACATGACAAACCTAAAGACCTAGAAGGTATGACAACATTTCAATATCATTCAACAGAACTGTAGCTAGAATATCTATACAGAAGAGTTAAGGTGGAAGCATTAGTACTTGTCGGTATCATCAACAATCCTAACTCTTGTTGGCTTAAGTATATGACAAATAAAGAGTTTTATCAAAAAAAAATTATTTTTTTATCAAAACAAACGCATATGACAAATAAGAGTCCTTTATTGAAATCCAGCACCAACGTGGCATTCCGCATAAACAAGGGGCTTTCAATTCTTTAAACATGTAAAGGATGCAATAAACATATACTGTTTTATCTTGAATTTTGCTATTAGTTTCAATATGTAACTCTGAACTTCCTGACACCATAAAAAGCCATCTCAATTTATCGATCATCAATGTACCTTCCATCAGGTTGCTGAAGGCACTTCATCGTCGTAGAAATGAACTCACAGACAATAGTTGAGAATTCATGGCCGATCATCTTGAGTATAGCCAGGGCGCAGTATGTACTAGCCAAGTGACTACCATTGTGATTCAAAACCTGGATAAAACTTTAAGTAATAAGCATTACCCCTGATAATCAAATAAAATCTGGCATCTAAACCCATGAAAAAAGAATAATATTTTAATTGAAAGATCAATTCATTATTCAGCCATGCAAGCTTAAAAAACCAACATGTGAGCAAAGACGTCCATACCCCAGTGGTGTCAATTGGAAGCTTGAAAGTGCTAGAACCGCAGAATCCGAAGAAATGCCCTAAAATCAATTAAAGTAACACTTGAATCCCAAGCAACAATTTGGGAATCCCGAAAGTTAACAAGCAACTTCTTTTTTTCCAATGTCCGTTAAAAAATAAACAATTTCTCCAGTTTAAAAATGACCATACCATGCTCCAATGCCTGCTTCTCTCTAGGAATCACTTGCAAAGATAACACCCAATTTGCCAATCTCTCCTTGTCAACCTAAATATTAAACTTTATCAAAATTAATAGACATAAGTTCAATAAGGAAAATCTCCTCGAAAAATTTTACAGCTATCTGGTAAGAAAGACAAGATTTTTATGACTACACAATCAATAACTGATAAATAACTCAGGTCTATTCTAAAATTTAATTAAGGATTTATATAATTCAAAACTCACCCGATCTAGGGCATTGAGAATGGCAAGCCCTGAAACTGCAAAGTAAGCGAGCGTGAGGCGATGGATATCTTCACGCTGGTAATGATATGGCAAAGTATCTACCATCATCACAAAGAATTTCACATGACTCTCTCTGTCAAATAATTTAGATTCAGAAACCATCGCTAGGGTTCTGAAAAGCACAAATTAACAGTGCTAGTCAAATAATTTGGATTCAGAAACCATCGCTAGGGTTCTGAAAAGCTCAAATTAAAACTGCTAGGAAGAATTCTGTAAAATCTATAGATTAATGGGAGCACAGTATGAGGAGGTTTCAGTTTCACACGGCGAGTATTCTGGTGAAAAAAGTGACCGGAAGATTGCGAGCGCTCTGCCTTCTCCGAAAAAAATGGAAACTTTGATCTTTGATGTTCTAAGGAAATCCTAATAATATTAATTAGCCAAAAATAAATATGAAATTGGGTTTTTACGACCCTTTGTCGTCGTCGTCGTCATCATCATCTTAGTATTCATATTCTTTTTCAACAACGGATAATTGTTTCATGCGGGCCGGACCGCATCTCTACATAAGCGGTCTAAAAAGTGTAAAGCAAAGATGGGTGTGATTTCTATAAGGTTGCAATCTTAAACAATCCAATTAAGGCATACCTCTAAATTTTACCATTAATTTTGATATAAAAACTTATTAGGATTATTTTAAAATCTATTTTTATATCTAATTATGTAATTTTAAAATCTAAAATAATTAAAATTAAGTAGATTTATAAACATATAAAAATCTTGAAAAATAGATGCTCTAGATAATGTGTTGCAAGATGCACTATTTTTAAGACTCAAAATCCTTTTTTTTCGTATTCATACATCTCTAATGGGAAGTGATGTGAAATCACCACCCATGTGGTATTTCTCACTATGGTGAGGGATATTTTTGTCACTAAAATGAAGTATTTTTTAGTAGAGGCTCATAAAAGGTTATTCTAGAGAGATAAACATGTAGAAAAAGTGTGTGAACTCTTTTGTAGAGAAAATGGAGCTTGTAAATTGGGGGTTGGAAATTGGGGGTTTTGCAACAAAACCCTAGCACCACTATTTGGAGCTTATCTTGAGCCATTTTGTCGGTATTTCTTCACGGCTGTAGTGAATTGAAGAATAAGTCAACTGTAGGTGGTTTTGTGGTAGAAAGGTTTTTGTTTGAACATTTCTTGAGATTGTATGATGTAACTCTGCATTACCCCAATCTTGTAATTTTTTTCTCTTGATAATGAATACATTTGCCGTATTGCCCGTAGACGTAGCCCATTTTGGGTGAACTACGTATATGCGTGTGTCCCTCTTTATTTTCATTTATGTTGTACTTCAAAGATTTTCCATATTGTTTGTTTTATTGTTCTTATATTTTTCCTAATTATATTGGACTTGTTATTGCATCTTGGGCATATTATTTGAGTGTTGAAATCATTGTGGTGGAGTACTCATCGCATGTAGTGGGATTCGAGATATCCCGATTTGCTCAAAATAGATGATTGGATTATCCCAATTTTACAACAAGTGGTATCAAAGCTCAAGGAATTAGTGTATTGTTTTTTAAAAAATAGCATCTCACAAGTTTGAAGTGGAGAAGTTTAATGGGAAAGATAACTTTGAAATTTAAAAATTAAAAATGCAAGATTTATTGGTACATCAAAGGAAACACAAAGTATTACTTGGAAAAGATAAGAAATCGGTAAATATGACCGATGATGTTTGGGATGAACTCGATATGAAGGCAAGGGCCACTATTCGCTTGTGTTTAGCCAATGAAGTTGTGTTTAATATTGTTGGCGAAAAGATGGCAAAAGATTTGTAGAAAAATTGGAAAGTTTGTATCAAACAAAATCTCTCACAAATCGAATTTTCTTAAAAAGAAAATTGTATTCCTTGATAATGAAAGAAAGTGCAAATGTGTCGCAACACTTGAATGAGTTTAATAACATCATTTGTCAACTTGAGAGTAGTGGTGTGAGAATGGATAATGAAGATAAGACGGTCACCTTATTTTGTTCATTGTCAGAATCCTATAATAACCTTGTTATTAGATTGAGTTATAGCAATGAGGATTCTCTTGATTTGGGCTCGATGTGTAGTGCCCTACTTGCCGATGAACTTCGAAAGAAGGCACAATTGGGAAGTTCGATGGAATCAAAGGCAAAAGCTCTTGTGGCAAGAGGGCGATCAAATGAACTAGGTGATTCATCGAGGAATCATTCAAGATGTAATTCAAGATTTCGATCAAAATCTAGAGGGCCCAATAACAAGAATGTGTGTTGGCATTATGGGAAGTACGATCATATAAAGAAGAATTGTTTAAAAAGAAATAGAGTGAATTCTTCCAAAGCTCTTAATGCGAGAGGTGTAAAGCCAAGTGAATCCAAAAATGAAGCAAAATCAAGTTGAAGAGTCTACATCCGGGTTCATTAAATATGAAGTATTGATTGTGGCATGTAATTCAATATTCTATCAAAATTGGTTACTTGATAGTGGAGCCACCCATCACATGTGCCCACATAGATCATGGTTTGACTCATATGAGTGATGTGAATGAGGATCAGTATCCATGGGTAATAATTCCACTAGCAAGGTGGTTGGAATGGATTTGGTTCGCCTAAGGATATTTGATGGGACATTCGGGTAATTAAGGATGTTAGGCATGTGTCGGAACTAAAAAAGAGCTTGATTTCCCTCTTTTCTGTAGATTCGAAAAGTTATAAGTTCACTGATTAAGGTGGAGTAATCGAAGTATCAAAATGAGCTCTAATTGTTATGAAATGAGTCCTAGTTGGGAGCTTGTATAAGTTATTAAGAAGCACAATAATAAATAATGAAGTGAATTTCGTGATCGAAGGTGAAGAAATTCTATTTCGCCTATAGCATAGAAGATTGGGGCACATGAGTGATAAGGGTATGGAGCTCTTGATGAAGAGGAATTTTATTCCTACACTTAAAATTGATGGATCCAAATTTTGTGAGTATTTCTCAAGAAAAGTATGGATCAAAACTCTCAAGTCTAAAAATGATATGTTTTGTGCATTCAATAATTTTAAAGCCAAAGTTGAAAAATCTATGGGGCATCACATCAAAGTTCTTCGGACCGATCATGGTGGAGAGTTTGTATCAAAGGAATTCGAAAATTTTTGCAAGACCGAGGGAATTACTAAACATTATACAAATACCTACAATCCTCAACAAAATGGTATTACCAAGAGGATGAATCGCACTTTGATGGAGTGTGCGAGGTGCATGTTAAGCAATACCGGTCTAGAACAAGAATTATAGGTGGAAGCCATATCAATGACTTGTTATCTTAACAACCGATCACCTTTGGTAGCATTAGGAAGCAAAACTCCTAATAAGGTATGGTGTGGAACTCTAAGTGACTACTCCGACTTAAAAAAATTTTGTTGTGATGCCTATGTACTTATTCCAAGTTACCAAAAGAACAAATTGGATCAAGGTCAAATAAGTGCATCTTTGTGGGTTATAGCAAAGGTGTAAAGGGGTATCGATTATGGGATCCAAGTACCCGAAAAATAATTATTAGCCGTGATGTGAATTTTGATGAATCCAAGGTATTGGCAAAAGGGATGATGATAAAGGACAATGGCTAAAAAGTGCAATAAGAGAGCAAGAATTTCAAGGCAACCTCGAAATACTTCCACGAAGTACAATTATGTCTAATGAGAATATACACATTGATCATAGTGAAGACTATGAAGGACTATGACGTCAAAATGAAGGACTGCATGGCCATCATGATGAAGTTGTGTCTTTAGCATAAAGGCATTCTACTAGGGAAACTCATGCACTCAGGTGGCACAAAGATTATGTGGATCCAAATACTTTGCATGCTTTGATAGCTGAAAATGAAGAGTCAACATCATTCCATGAAACCATTGATAACAATGGTACCGAGCAATGGAAAAGAGCTATGGAAGATGAGATATTAGCCCTTCAAAGAAACAAGACTTGGGATTTGGAGGAGCTACCAAAAGGTAGAAAGGCCGTTAGTTATAAATGGGTGTTCAAGATAAAAAAAGGGCTTGATGGCAAGCTTGAAAGATATAGGGCAAGATTGGTGGTAAAAGGTTTTTCGCAAAAGGAAGGGATTGACTTTGATGAAATTTTTGCACTGGTTGTTAAGTTGGTCTCAATTTGCTTGGTGCTTGGGTTAATTGCTATGCATGATTTAAAGCTTGAGCAAATGGATGTGAAGACAGTTTTTTTGCATGGAGAACTTAAAAAGGAAATGTATATGCAACAACCGGAAGACTTCATAGAGAAAGACAAAAAAAGACTTGTGTGCAAATTGAAGAAGTCCTTATATGGGCTCAAGCAAACATCAAGTCAATGGTATAGAACATTTGATATGTTCACGTTGAGCCTTGGGTACACAATAAGTAAATATGACCATTGCATCTATTTAAAATTCTTTGATGATGGTAAGTACTTGATTTTAGTCTTACATGTGGATGACATGCTTTTGGTGTGCAAAGATAAGACAAAAATTGATGAGCTAAATTCTTCTTTGAGCAAAAGATTTGAGTTGAAGGATCTCGGGCCGACAATGCAAATCCTTAGGATTAAATTTAAAAAGGATAGACACAATGGATTTTTGTCATTATCTCAAAAGGGTTACATAGAAAGGGTGCTTGAAAAATTTGGCATGAAATATGCAAAGTCGGTGAAGACACCCTTAGTGTCTCACTTCAAATTGTCTTCAATGCAAAGTCCGAAGACGGAAGAAGAAAGAAGAAGCATGGCTAAGGTTCCTTATGCAAATGCGATTGGAAGTTTAATATTTGTCATGGTATGTACAGGGCCGGATATTGCGCATGCAGTTGGGGTTCTAAGTTGGTTTATGGCAAACCTCAGAAATATCCATTGCGAAGCAACAAAATGGATGCTTCGGTACTTAAAAGGTACAACAAGTTATGTAGTCACATTTGGCAAAGGCTCAACGTAAATGCAAGGTTTTGTGGATACAAATTTTACAGGTGATCTTGATAGAGGTAGGTCAACTACCGTAGTTGTTTTTCGATTTGCAAATGGACCGGTAAGTTGGATGCCAAGGCTCCAAGATACGATAGCATTGTTAACTACCGAAGCCGAGTACATAGCAGTAACGAAGGCATCAAAAGAAGTTGCGTGGCTTTAAGGGTTGATAGGTGAGATGGGCATTATGTGCAAGCCCCTGAAACTATTTTGTGACAATATAGTTGCTATCCATTTGGCTAAGAACCCGGTTCACCACAAGAGGTCAAGGCACATATTGGTTCAATATCACTATATTCATCAAGTTGTTGAAGATGGAAAAGTTCGATTGATCAAGATCAAGACCGAAGACAACCTTGCGGATATGTTTACAAAAACCATAAAAGTAG